TTTTCTCACCAAGCCCAGGCCTGAGGAGTGCACAGTGTTCCGGCCAGCACACACCGCAGCCTCCGCCTCTTTGTCCCCGCAGGCCCTCCCAGCTCAGGGCTGAGAGAAAGAAACGCATTTCCATACGCCCTGAATGGCCCTTTGGACGCGTGAGTGGCAGGTCCGCCACACCTCTCCCGGGTTCCTCACTGAGACGGCCTGACTGCTCTGCTGGCAGGTGCAAGCCCGCCAACCAGGGGGAGAATTAAGTTTTTAAATGGACTGGAGGACAAAGGTGTAGTTTTGCCAACTGTTAAGCAGAGAACAAATGTAATACTATATCCCAATAGCTTGGCCTAATGCAAAAGCCTTCTCCTTATCCCAGTGGCCACTGGCAACCCTGGGTAACTGTCCCCGGTCCCTTATTAATGGCACTAATCAAAGCACCAGTGTTGGGGGAACCTAAGTGAGTGACAGCATTTAAGATGTTTTAAGCCTCTCATTATTCCCAATGCACCAGTAAACATGCAAATTACCGTTTGCAGAATGTAGGGAAATACACAGTTCTGCTAAGCCCCCTTCCACGTAGCTTTTTTTAAAACAAAGCAAACACAAAATGGAAAAAGGCTCTGGTGGGGTTTCAGATAAGACTCCATTTTACGCGTTTTCGGTAACAGATTGACATGTTTTTGTACAGCACATGGGCTCCTGCCTCCTAGAGATGCTGGGAACCGTACCAGTGTGACCACAGCTGGCATTTCCTGACCCTGTGCAAGGCCCACCTCACCCATGCGCCATGCGACCCTCAGACTACAAGGAGAAGCATCATCTCACAGAGTCGCCTGGATGCAAAGACTGGCAAACAGGAAGGAGGGAACGGATGGCGAGGGGCCACAATATGCCTTTCATTGTCATTTCCCTTAAGCATTTTTAAACTTCACCCCCGGAAGAGGCAGGCAGAAATACACGGCACCAGGGTGTCTTCCTAACTTGGGAGGTTTGCTTCTCATGATAAATAAATGGTTAGCAAGCCAGTTTCCCCTTTGTTTTGTTGTTTTTGTTTTCTGTTAATCCTCACCAGAGGATATTTTTTCCATTGATTTTTTAGAGAGACTGCAAGGGAGGGAGGGAGGGGGGAGAAAGAGAGAGGGCTAGAAAGAGAAAAAGAGAAAGAAACATCAATGTGAGTGAGACACATGGATTGGTTGCCTCCCACACTCTCTCTGACCTGGGCTGGGGATCGAACCTGCAAACACAGGTACATGCTCTTGACAGGGACTAGAACCTGAGACGCTTTGGTGCAAAGGACGATGCTCAAACCACTGAGCAACGCAGGCCAGGGCCCCTTTGTTTTTAAATAAAGAATGGTTTCCTCCTTAGGATGCTTGTGAACTTGCACAGCAACATTGAAAAATAATGCTACAAAAACTTACAGCCCTGTTGTTAGGCTTTGCCTGGGGAACCCAACTCCAAAGAACCTATCAGCTGGGCAGAGGCGCATCTATTTCCTTCCTCTTGTGGAGACAGTGTTATGTGATCGTGACGAGAAAACAAATCACAGGCTGTCACCACGCTTGTTCTCTCATCTCGGATACTACCCGGGGGTCCAAGCAGAAAACAAAAGTTCAGTCAAATTCTACTGCATTGCAAAATCAAACACTTGAATATATATATATTTTAGATATTTTTAAAAAGCTACATCCTGTAACCAAAGCAACAATGACAATATAATTATAAGTGGACCAATGCACCACGCAGGCAATTTTATATTGTTACTGGATTTTAAATGAATGAGAAACAGAATAGAACTCAAAAGACAGGGGAGTTAGGGGGCAAGAAAAATAGTGAAACAGGATGGCGAGGACTGTTGGGTTTAAGCCTGCTCCAAAAATCGGCAGGCTCCACTGGTCCTTCTTCTGGTTTATTACGCCCACGTTCTTGGAAAAAGAGAAGATGCTCACTACAGAAGAGGTGGAGACCAGGATGGGAGGGGCAGGAAGGGAGAGGTGAGAGGTAGAAGGAAGAAACCAAAAACTTTTAGCCCTGGTCTAAGCCCCAGATCTTCCCGAGCTAAGGTGAAGCCAGATAGGACGCTTTTCATTACAGACCATCAGACATGTCACACAAAGATTACATATATTAATCAAAGACTGCATGTAGTAATCGGCCATGCTGGTCCATAGCATGGATGTTTACAGTCCTGAGCACTGGTTATGAAGAGGGTTAGCTCCACTTCTGAGCTCTATTTACACAGATGTTTGCATTCATTCATTCATTCATTCATTCATTCATTCATTCAGTCAATGAGCGGAGTGCTTGTTGTGAGCCAGGTGCTAGGAACCGAAAGACTACAACCCATAAAATGCGGACTCCAGTCCAATAAACAGAATTAAAAACTGATGCGTGCTGTGAGGAGGGTGTGCATGTACGTTATACATTCCAGCGTGGGTGTGAGGAAGTGATGCTCCAGGGAAGTGACACCTGAGCAGAGCTGAGCAGAAAGGGTTTCCAGGCAAACAGCACAGCTGTGCTCACGCCTCAGAGTAGAAGACACGAGGACAGCGCACAGTGCGAGGTCTGACAGACAGGCAGGGAGGGGCCAGACCGTGTGGGTGGAACGGGCGACTGTCACGAGGGGGATGGGGAGTCCTTGAAAAGGGATGCAGAGAGGCACATGGCCTAATGCAAGGTCCCTGGCTGCTGAGCCCAGGAAGGCTGGAAGAAGCCAGCCGTCTCGTAGGATAGGTGTTGGCAAACTTTTCCCATGAAGGGCCAGGCAATAAATATTGTAGGCATTGTGTGCCAAGAGGAGAAATCATGGATTTTATGTAAGTACTTTACAAAGTTCCATAAAATTTTTATTGATGAAATAAAAAAATAGAATAACAATTAATAATAATAATAATCATCATTGAGTACAATTTTAACACTATAGGTTGCGTATAGACAAAAATGGAATTTTTTTGTTGTTGGGAGGAATAACAAGTTGTTTAATTGGTGTTCTGCTATGGCAGCATAAAAGCAGCCATAGACAATATGTAAATAAGTGAGCATGGCTGAGGTCCAATAAAGCTTTACTCGTGAACCGAAATTTGAGTTTCATATAATTTCATATGTCACAAAGTATTATTTTTATTTCAGCCATTTGAAAATGTGAAAACTATCCTTAGCTTGCAGGCTACACAAACACTGGACCATGGACTTAAATGTCTTTCAAGAAAAAGAATTCCCTAATAAAAGCTTATCAGAATTAAAAATTCTCTTCTGATGTCTGCTATTACATATATTACATAGCTAACTTCATTGTGTTTTTAATCCATCACTCCGTGTCTACTTTCCATAATTGGCATAGTTATAAATGTAGTTTTTAATTACCACTGTGGCATGATGCAATTTGTAATTACCAGCATGACCTACCACATTTCACACAGTGCTCATAAGATTGAATTTTTCACTAGAATAAATGGCATTGCACATCCTTGGATAAATTCCTTTTGGTTCCTTTAGGGTTAATCTTTGTATCAGTCTCAAAAATAAAACGACTGGATTTCCAGGGGAAAAGTATGATACGCTCAAGACCACTGTTTTCTGCCAGAGAACACTCCAGAAAGGTTCATTGAACACTGAGTTCCAGGTATTTGTGTGTCACCAGCAAAGTTTTAAAAAAGAGCTTATTTCCCCAAATCCCCAATAATGAAGGTTTTGATAAGTTTACTTATTCTGGCAAAGTTTACGGGTGGATTGTGGTATTTGAAGTGATTATAAGTTGCATTTCTTGGTGCTAGCCAGTCTGCGCAAGATCCCTATGACAGTTCCATGTATGTTTCCTTTACTTATAAACTGTCCATCTCCTTTATCCCTCGTGGGGTCAAGTTCAGCAGTGGAACTTCCAACTGACTCCTACACTTTCTATATCCTGGTCGGAGAGCTTTCATATGGAATTCATCTATGTGATTTCTTTCTATTCTTTTCCAGGGCAAGGGCCAAGTTTCAGGCAGGTCTAGGTCCGTGGTAATTCAGATACGGAGGGTGTGCAAAGGTAACATCATAGGGGGTGTCCAGGCACACTCGTGCTCTCCTGGTAGCCTGTGGCCATGCATTGGGGACCTCCTAACCAACACTGCCATAGTCGCATCATCCGCACACCTGAGGTCATGTCATCCACACCTGGGGGGCGGAATGCATAGTGGGGGAGGATGGCATGGCAGGTGAGGCTCAATTCCCGGCTCAGCTGACTTGGCTCATAGCATCCCTACCAGCCCTGCCCTGCGTGCCGTATCGTCATGGCATCCGTATCTTCCATCTCCCACTGAGAACAGGAGCCATCTGTTGCTAAGCACCCTACAGGGCACAGAAGAGCCCTCCACGACAGAAAGGATCTGGCCCCAAATGTCAGTGGTGCCAACGCTGAGAATTCCTGTTCTCAGACTAAATAACCACCCTCTCCGTGCCTCTCCTACCCTACGCCCAGACCAAACTATTAAACCAAGAGAGAGCATCCGGCAACACAGATGAAATGGCCTGGCGTGGAGAGGGACATTTCATTTAGAGATTTCTATTTCGTTGTGGCATTTCGTAGGACACTTCCCTGACGTGGGCCCGGCACCACGCAACCGAAGCCTGAGCTATCGTTACCACCAGCCAAATACACACTGGAACCTGACTTTGCGGCACGCCTCATTGGCTGCACCCTTCAGAGGTTTCCAGTGAGAGGGAACAGCCGATAAGGGAGACCCAGGAAGCCGGCATGGAGCAGCAGGAATCGGAGGAGAAATTACCTAGAGGTCTGTAGACAGAGACACTGAGGTTGAGGGTCGGGGTGGCCGAGGACTAGGTAGAGAAGGACCTGGCCAGCCTCTTTGGGAATCAGACCCTGGAGCTGCCAGGACCAGCTACCTGAGATGCCACGTGTCACAGGGGAGATCAGTGGTGGCTGGTTCAGAACATGTAAAACCTTCTGCTCAAGTGTATTCAAAGCAGCTTATGCGGGACAGTCAATGAGACAGAAAAACAGGCCTTACCGGGGGTGCTGATGGCGGGGGAGGGGGAGGAGCTCCCAGAGGCGGGGGAGGTGGAGGTAGAGGAGGAGGTGGAGGTGGCGGTGGCACTGGCATATGTCACGGCGTTGGTGTCTCTTGCTTGTGAATGGTCCCAAGAGAATGGCTTCTGCTCTGAAAAGGAGAGAAGAGAGTTTTAAACGCAAACGTCTTTATTCATGCACAGGTACTTCATGTCATGCAGACATACAGATATTATGCCTTCTTCCTTTCTTCCTTTCTCTCTTTCTTTCTTTCAATAAATACGAGTGTCTATTGTGAGGCAGGCATTGTGCCCAGTGCTGGAGACTGAAAGAGCAGCCAGATTCTGGAGAGAATTGGGTGACGGAACTGATAAAATGCAGCTATTTCTGTATCAAAATTAATAGAATACATAAATAGCAACACCTCATTCCATGATCTTTCCAAATAACGGATTTCTACCTCCTTCGCATTACACTTTTAGTTTTATCATTTCTGACGCATTTAAAAAAACATTCTGCACACGTTCCCCGTCCCCTAAGCAGAGCGCACGAATGAAATGTAACCTTTTCTGCAGGTCGCGGGCGCCACATTACTCATGGTACCAGCCTCGAGCAGGGCCCTAAAGGGCATCACTCATTCTCCTGCTCCCTCCTCTCCTGGCAGCTCTTACTGTATTGCTGTCCCTCTGTGGCTTCTATACAATCATCTGGGTGCGAGCAGGCCCCTTTCTGCAAAAGCATCATAACTGGTTTGCTACATAGAGGGCTTCTTGCCGCCATTCTGCAAACACACTTATGTTTCAAACAGTTCATATTGTAAGACACCTGAGCTCCTATAAGTGTGTGTGTGCATGTGCATGTGTGTGCGTGTGCATGTGCGTGTGCGCGTGCGCGCCCTAGAATCCTTATCAAGGCACGTGGCAAAGGCTTAAAACCCACACTGAAGGCAAGTCCCACAGTTTACAGGAAGGAGGAAAACCTATGTGAGACTCTAAACACAATTAAAGCACGAACAGAAATACACATCAGACCTGCACAGGGGTAAATCTGTGTTTTGTGGTGTTTTTTGTTTGTTTGCTTTGTTTTTGTCTCTGTAGTCACTGGAAGGTCAGAACAAGGCCTGTGCCCGCTTCTTCAACTTTGAAGCCCTCTGGCACCTGTATTATTCCATGCTAATACTTTTATCTCCTCGCAGTAAAGAGCAGTTATGTAACACGGTGCCTGATTTTTAGCAGGGGCTACCGTTTTGCTTGTGTAGTACATGTTAGTTCTGTTTGGCTGCTATGTGACAGGCTGGTCACGTTAATTTCCATGATAATATTCTAAGGTCAGAACCACCTTGTTTTCAGCAGGGTTAAGACTTCCCCTAAAATTGTACAAAATTTAAAAAATATATGTAATTTAAAGTTCATCTTTCTTTTGTGGAAAAAGTCCATGATAGTTTCATAAGAGTCCCAAAGATGTGCATGAGCTGATCATTGTGGGTGACCAAAGTTTTCTTAGGAAGTGTCCCCCTCAAAATTACTAAAGCCAGATAATTACTGTGCCACTGCCTCTTCCCTCGACAGTAACACCAGGACAGAAAGACCGGAAAAACAATACTCATCAGAGTCCCCAACATGAAACTACAGTGAACTTGGGCAGAGATCCCAGAGGGTAGCAGGTACTTCTTCCTGGTGGCGTCGGTGATGTGTTTAGTATACAACCTAATACACTCAGTAACGCAGGGTCAGACCAAGCCTGCATTTTACTGGCTGAACACTGAAGCAAGTTGGATGTTGAGTCCGCAATTTAGTTGGAACAAAAATAAATGATCAGTTATTTGTATTTTAACCCTTTCTTTCATAGAAGGCACTGGGCGCATTCTTTATGTGATCCTTTATTCAGTGCCAAAAAGAACGGCAGCCAACAATGTATAGTGGGTATTGAAAGGTTGGCTGAAGTATTAATAGAACAAGAGAAAATATGCAGAGAGTCTCATTATGTGAGGATTCCATCTTTTATCCAAGACAGATGAGAAGACAAAGACTTGCTTCCCCCGGTGATGAACTGGAAAGAGATTAAAAGAGGAACTTTGAAAAGGTAAATGTTTCTTACCTACGGGTTTCGCCATTTATCTAAGGAAAAATGGCCATAGGTAGTAACCTTAGGAGAACTGTGGCTGAGCTGTTCACGGAACCCCGGAGCACTCAGCTAGGTACTATTTCCCAGCCTCCTTTGCAGTTAATTGTGACCATGTGACTGACCTCTGGCCAAGAGAAAGAAGGCAGAGTGACGTGCTCCACCTGGAAGCTGGTCCATAAAGACCTACCTACAACTCTCTCTTTCCCCATCCAAAAGATGTCAAGAATCTGGGCTCCTGACTAACTTTTAAACACCGGATTAGACTTTAAATACCTAAAAAATAAACTTTTGTGTTAAGCTACAGTTTAATTTGTTATAGCCACTCATTTTTAACCTGCCTAACACAGGAACTAAATGGGTTACAGCGAATTCTCATCAATTGCGGGAGGTATGTTTTTATAAAGTTGTCATGATCGCTGAGTTAACAAATCCTGAACCATTGCTCCTAGGAGGTACACAGGGTTAGGTTCCTGTGGACAAACACAAGATTTTTGTTACCGCATTAAATTATAATCTTATTTCATGTCTGTTCCTGCTTCCAGAGACCTTATAGATAGGTATATGCTGTTGTTACATGAACATTCATGCCAACAGCACTGTCCCTCATGATGGAATGAAGCTTACCTCTCACACACATTGTCTCCATCAGGCAAACCGCAGCCTCCCGCCACTCAAGAACACTGGACGGAACCTGGACATTACGCTTGGAGGGCCATTTAAAACAGTGCAACCACCACCAATAAGCACCCACATCTGAACAGCGTGGCACTGAACAGAATGTGTAAAAGACACTAGTTTACAGCATGGGAGCCGCAACAAGGAGGCGGGGGTCACCGTGTGGGACCTCAGCTGCCATGTCTGCACCGGGGCACGCGAGCTTCCCCCACTTTGCACACGTCTCCCACTGACCGTGAAGGCGCCTGTGAGTACCGACTTTGAGGCGACAAGTACAGTTCAGCGAGTGGGCGATGAGCAAACTATGGAGTCCGTGAACAATGACATCGACTGTGTAATTCTTGAACCCCCTCCGTGTGCTCAGCACTGGATCAGGTGCTAATAATCCACTGTTCTGGTTAATCCTCTCAGCAACTCCCTGGTAGACGCCGGCATTTCCATAGGAGAGACCACGCGATGCAGGCAGTTTCTACCAACTTTCAGAAAGCGCGCCCGAGCTGAGTTAAAGCCCTAGCCTTTCAGATTCCCAAACCTCATTTCTTGCTTTACTCACTTGGTATCATTCAGGCCATCTTACTTCTCTGCTTCCATTTTGCAAAGATTTAAAAATCGTTTTGAGACCCTCCAGCGACAGGGACCTCATCCAGGTGAGTGTAATTCTGTCACTCACGTCCCCTAAGCTAAGCACCCTTGCTGCCCACCTCGTTTATCCTCAGAAATCTGAGAATGGTTAGGTACCACTGGGCTTCCCTCTTGCTGAAATCACAGGAGTGATTTTTCAAACGCTGAGATGAAAGAGTATTTTTATATGCGGCACTTGATGGCTGCGAAGGCCCTTTCCTGACAGGGATAGTAATTAAGCAATTAGGGAGGGAAGAGTTTGTTCAAACCTAACAGTCTGGAAGCATGCAGAGTGCCAGGAAGTCGCAGGCTGCACCCAGGCGCTCTCCGATGCCCTGTGCTCTCCCGACACATTGGAAAAATGCTATTTTTCTCCATAATGCATGAAAAAGTGCCTAGCATAAAAACGCCAGATTCTCAAAAGCTTTTCTATTTTCTCCCAATGCATGAAATAACACTGGAGAACAGCGTGGAGACGCAGGTTCAACATTCTTGCACCGTTAGAGGGAGGCGGGGGAAGAGAATGAACAGCACCCCCATGTGAGACCCCGAATACAGGGGACCGGCTGGTCTTCGTGTCATACAGACCGGCCTTCTGCTTCTGCCTCTGCCTCTGCCTTTCCCAGCTGCACAGCTGGGGCCAAGTCACCGAACTCAGCAGGCCTCGTTTTTTATTTTATTTGCAAAATAGCTATAATGCTCGATTCTTAGTTTGTTATCAGAATTAAAGTGAAGACCGTATATAAGAAGAACAGAATACAGGTCCTGACACTCGGCAGACGTCACTGGAAGCTGTATTTATCATCCTCCCACCACCGCCTACTCCATGCCCACCACTGCAGTCTGTGAGTAACTGCAGAGAAAGAATAACTCACGGTGAGCACTTTCACATACCAGTTGCTCTTCTCACACTCACTTTCCCCCGCAAGAGTGGTTTGTCGGATTACAGCTGCTCACAAATAGAACACGGGCCTATTTAAAAATATGTAAGCACGAAGGGTTACTGCCTCTATGTGACAGAAGCAGCTTTTGCTGGTTCTAACAGTACATTTCAGTGGGGATCTGAACGTAAGGTTCTCCACGCACTCCTAACTTCCATGTGTTGACACGGCTCCACTGCGTCTCTTGTGTCTTGGCTATGAAGTCAGGGAAGAGAACAGAGACTTCTCACCTCGGCACTGGTCAAGGTGGACGCGCCCCAGGAGGCAGCCCGTTTCACACGGTGTGGTCTCAGCTGGGTCCTGCCAAGCTACATCAGTCATTTATTTATCAAAGGGGCCCTGCAGCCAGAAAATCAGACCCCGTGAGCCCACGCGCATACAAGGCACCAATATAAAGGTTCTCACAAAACATGTGGCAAAGCTGCCAAAGCTTTCAGCAAAATAATAAAGAATATTTTTAAAAACAAAACACCTTCTCTACAGGTGATGATGACAATGACTTATGAGTGGCCACTTTCTGTGGCCACTTCCTCATCATTCCAGGATGGAATTCTTTGGGCCCAGCCCTTGTCCTGGGACTTCCCGCCTATAAGATCTCGTGCTCCAGGCACCACCTCTCCCAGTTAAGACTGTCTTATACACGCTACGTGGAAGTGCTGTTCTCATTGTCCTCAATGGTACAAAGTCCTGGAAATATTTTGCCTTTTGGGGTGGTGGGGGCGTGTTGGCCCGAGTAAGCAGATAAGCAGGGGACAGGGCAGGGGGAAATACTAGTACAAAGCCCAGCATA